TAGATTTCATTATTATGGCCATGTGCCCTTTTTTTTAATATGTAGGGAAAATGCTTATATGTGCGTCATTCACGGTAAGAACTTAATTGTTTATACTAATCTCAGAATTTTCCTTTTGTATTTTTATTCATTCATAGAAAAAAAACAATATAAAAACTAGCATGCTAATATAAACTACGGACTTTGGGTGATAATGAATGATGTGTCAATGCAGGATCATCAGTTACAGCAAATACATCACTCTGGTGGGGAATGTTGATAACGGAGGAAGCTATGCACGTGTGGGGTGTAAGGATATACGGGAAATCTCTGCGCCTTCCACTCACTTTTGTTGGGAACCTAAAACTGCTCTAAAAAATAAAGTATATTAAAATGATAAGAAATAATAATGAGAAAACTACGTGAATAGGCAAACCCCATACAGGAAAATGAACTAGCCAATAACTATTTAGAGAAATCATTTAGGGAAATACAACCTGACATTAAGATGAGATACAACATTTTAGTACATCACGCATGCTTTTGGAAATCTAAACTGCTACGGTTTTTAGAAAGTAACTGGCAATATCTCTCAAAATCTTTACATGTTATAAAATGTGAGTAATAAAGAAGGCCTACCTTAGAGGTGGTTGTGAAAACTAATCAGTTACTACCTGCAAATTGCTTAGAAATACGCCTGGAATATGGTACGTGCTCAATAAATGTCAGTTGCTTTCATTATTACTATTTATTATTATTACTATTATCAGCACTCATCCTGCTTGATCCAGAAGCCCATTTATTAATATCAAGACTATGAAACAAAATCTCCCTGGAAATAACTTCATTACCCATCAATATTACATACTATGGGATCTCATCCATTAAAAATGAGTAAAAATTTATACATAGAGCAAGAAAATAAGTGCCATTATTAGATAAGACCTGACACTTGCAGAACACTATTTCCATTTGTGCAAGAAAACAAAACAAAACAAAAAAAACCCTTTTCTGGTAGGTTTCTATATGTTTTATTTCAGGTAAAGATGAAATTTAAAATAGAAAATCATGGAATGATACACACAGGATATTGATACTGGTTTCCTCACAGAGTGGAAGTAGAAAACTGAAGAGATTAAAAATATATCCTATAGCAAAATGAGACAAAACTAGAGTGTAATATCAAATAAAATGCTTAAAAATCATATAATTATGTAAAATGACATGAAACAAATAAAATTAATCATGGACAGATAAACTTATTCCCTTGATAGTTGCAATTGTAATTATACTTTAAGGAGTTACATAAAATAATTTTCATGTGTCTGATATACTTTAATACTTATATCATTAAATTACAGTTGGGTTTGAATATTAGATTTAAAAATCTAAAGATAAAGACTCAAAATTCTAGTCTGACATGAATCACCAAGAAGACTTAACATATTAAATATAACATTTATGCTCTTGCATATTTAGGCTCTAAATTTAGGCTCAATTTAAGGTAGTCATTGTAAAAATGTAAGAAACTAAAAACAACTGTATGAAAAGAAGCATGGCCACTTGCTGTTTTTCAAGGTGGAGAGTGTATGTTTTCCTGTCAATTTTGATAGCATAGGTGACCTACAGCAAAGTAGTCAGAGAGAATGTAATTATTAGATATTTCAAATCCTTAAGTCAGAAGCCCTGATTTTTAAAAATATATGTACTCTTTCATATAAGCATGTATTGTATCATGAGTGTATCAAAATTATATATATAATTATAGTTACAGTTATCTTTCTTCAATCTTGGAATGTGTGACAGAATCATAATCGAACTTACATGAAATCTAGGAGTCTAAGTCTATTTCAAAAGTAAGAGCATAAGTCATTAGCATTTAACTATCATCATCAAATTTTTAACTTCAAATGGTTACATTTAGAAATGCTGAGTAACCTTTGAAGGAACTTGAATTTTATTATCTTTTCCTACTTTGCAATTTCTACAGCAAATAAATGGAAAATTAAACAATACAAAGCAAGTCCCCTTTTAAGAGGAAACTAAAATTAAACTAAAATCTGATGTTCACCTAAAGACACCATTAAGAAAGTTAAAAGGCAATTCCTAAAGAATGATATTAGCAATTCACATCCAATTGGCCAATCCACATTTGTGTATGTCTTATTTCTAACAGTACATCTTTTCCTTCTCCTTTTCGTTTTCCTTAGTCTATCTCACCAAAAGTTCTGTTTTATATTCTTCTCAGAAATCAACTTTTGACATTATGAATCCAGGCTACTTCAGCTTACTTTTGTCTTTCATTAATTCTACTTCTTAATTTAAGCAGCATCTTTAAGAATTTTAAGGTTATAATTATTTTTCTAATTTTAAATTGCTGACCATTTTTTGTCGCTTGTTTAATTATTTGTGGTTATAAATTATGCTCCTATACCATCTTCAGAGCGGAATTCAAATTTTTCTTTGTAATTTCTTCATTCTCGTTCATTGTTTATTATTTAATATCCATTGTGATTTATGATTTCTCCTTCAACCCATGAATCACGTAGAAGTATACTTTTAAATGTCCAAATACATTTTTCAGTCATTCTGTTAAGTTTTAACCTAATTGTATTGTTGCCAGATGATGAGTTCTGTACTATCCATATTTGCGTTTATTTATTTATTTTCCTTGCTGTGGTCAATTCTGTTGAATGACACTGTATGTTCTTGAAAAGTATGAGAACTAGTCTTGAGAAGCATTATTTACAATGGAGATAGAGCATTAAGTGCAGCTGGATTAGAAAAGCTCTTATCTATTTCTGGGGATACCGACAAGTCTGGGTGTTTCTGACTCTTGGCTGAAGAGGGCAGTAAGATTTATAATGCACTGTGTAGGGTTCAAAACTCCCCTGGCCAAGGTTAGCTTCCGTTGTGTTTCCCTAACTAGTTTGACAAGACTGGCTTGGCTACTTAAAAAGTCACTGAAAGCTTTGCAAGGAGCTCTCCCAAAGCCAAACTTCCTCCCATAAATCTTGTGATTTCAAGCCAGAGACTCAGCGTGTTCCGGGAGCACAGAGAGGTTGGGTTCGCGGAGAGCTAGCTTATTGCGGATGCTTCCTGGATTCCTGACATTTGCCTGAATTCTCTTTGTCTTGCTGCACCAGAGGTTTTATCATTTAGTAAAAGCCTCACGTGTGATATCCCTAGACTCTAGCAAGTCTTAACATAGAACAGAAAGGGGAAAACAATACACAAACTTCATTGGGTTCACTTTATCCATCAATAAAATGTTTCTTTTTGTTGTTCAAATTTTCTTTATGAAGAATTTTATGGTCAATCATAAAATTGAGAAAAACATTTTAAGATCTCTCTATGGAAATGGATTTGAAAATGTCTCCCTGTCATGCTATCAGTTTTCATTTTATATATGCTGAGGACATTTTATTAAAGTCATACAAATTTAGAATTTTTATATGTTACCTAGGAACTGAATATTTTATTATTATTATGTAACGATGCTTATCTCATAATGGTGTGTGTGTGTGTGTGTGTGTGTGTGTGTACCAAATACTGTCTTTTTCCTGCTATCATCATGGATCCTCATGTTTTCTTTTGGTAGCATCTTCCCAGTGTACATTATACTCTCCTAAACATTTCAGCGTCTCCAGATATTCATTTTGGGGGTGTGATAGCTTTTATAAATACATAATCGCTGGTGTTTCTTGGTACCACAGAGTGAGCCAGTCAGAAGTAGACCACTCTATAAAACCTGATCCAGTGTCTAGTACAGTTTTTCAGCTGCCATTTGAGGACATTCCTCTCCGATCTTGCCACTGAGGTTCTAATCAATGGATTCCTCTCCCATCCCTGTGTGTGTTTACATCAACACTTCTTCCTTCTTGAAAACAAAGTGTCCTATCCAAAGCTACTTATTCTTATTAAAAAAGAAGTCAAAACCAGAAAGAAACTGACAACTAACAAAATGATTCAAATAGTCAATATACAGAAAGACATCTTTTGTTAAGGTTTAACCAAAAAATACCTGTTAAAAGTGAAGCATTCACTAGGATGTACACAAGAGCAAAGATGAGAAGACTGAAGAGACCTGGAGAGGCCTCAGGAAGATAGGCGTCACTATTTCTGTTAATGGAAGTCAAATATAATGCAACTTTTCCAGTAGACATTTTTCAATGCTTATCAAAATTTTTTATAGTGGTTTGCCTGTTGATTCTATTGACTATTCAGGAAGGTTTATGAAACTACCTGCATGTATAAAATTTGAAATACTATATGATGTTACACATAAGTTACCATGAAGTTAGGAAAAATAATGAGAGGGCTGGATTTATTATCATAAAAATAAATCCTAACTCTACACATAAATGAAAAACCCAATTACAAATCTCATAAATGATCATTAAAAGTATATGTGCATGTGTGTATGTATGTCTCTAAAACTTCATTCCCTTCAAACTTACTGCCTTTAGAAAGTGAGGCAGCCATTCACTTTCTTAACGTCTCTGTACTGTCTAGATTTAATTTTACAATGTACACGCTTTACTATTCTAAGCAGATCAGAAATAACATTACTTTTACTTTTTACAAAGCTTTATATATGCCTATGTATGTAAATACAGGCATGAAGATACGCTTTATATACTGACATTTTAAAACCATGCTACAAGCTAAAGATTAGTATGGCCTCACTTACATAGAAGGTATTTTAAATGTAGAAATTATTTTTACTTATTTATTTATTTTTTAAAAAGTATTTTTAAACGTACATCTTTTCTAGAAAACAGTCTACAGTAGACTGTAGACGCCATTTTGTGGGATAGGAATTCGGGGCATTTCTTTTCTCTGAGTCTGTGTTTCGTAACGTTCATATATTACTTGGGAAATGAAAACAAAACACTTGCTCTCCCTCAGACAAAACCAAAACGTCTCTTGAACACTGTCATTAGGACACAAAATTTCATGAAGGGGTATGCATGAATTGATTTGGGTCTTGCAGTCCAGTAAAAATAAAATACTCATACCTTTTAAGTGATTTCTTAATTACATGCGTTTCTGAAACACCGCCGTCATTGGTGTTTGTCCCAGTCTTCTGTGGCACTGTAATTTGTATAAGTGATGTTTCAGTGTCTGCAGTAAGGAAAACAGGTGTCCTCTCCTATCACATCACTCGTGGATCTTCCAAGCCCGAGCGCACGCACGCGCACACACACACAATCATACTGCGCAAGGTTCCAGGAAGAGGTTCCTCTAGAAGCGGGAGTGTTACTACCCCACCACCGTCCAGAGACCCTTGGAGCTGGCTGACCTCAGCCCTGGGTAGGTGAAGAAGGGCTGCTCCCAGGACCCCATCCAGGTTCCGTCCTCCCCCCACCTCCCTGGAAGACAGGCGCCCCCTCCTGCGGCGCAGGGTCCCGGAGTGAGGGACAACTAACTCAGTCCTGCTCAGAGCCCTCCGACCAGCGGGCCCGTCAGGGGCCTGAAACTGGGCGGGCTCGGACCCGACCCCGGACTCTCCCCAGCCTGGCCTGAGCTTCTGCAGCAAGGAGGGCGACGTCCCCCGCGCCAAGGGACCCTGCGACGACGGGCCACCCTCCTATCCAGCAGGGTCCTCACTTACGATGGCCCGCGGAGGTCAGCCGACCCAGCCCTGAGAGGAGCAGCAAGAGAAACAGCATTGCTGTGGTCGGCCTCGCCACAGCAATGGCGGTTGACTGGAAACTGCAGCTAGCGCGCGAGGCCCTGCGCTCTAGGTCCCGTCGGGGAGGGGCGGGAGCGGAAGGGCGGGGAGGGCGGGCAGAGAGGGCGGAGGGGCGGGACTGGGAGGGAGGGCGGAGCGGAGGGGCGGGGCGGGGCGGGGCGGGACTAGAAGCCTGGAGCAGAGGGGCTGGGAGCTGAGGGGCTAGGCTGGAGACTAAATCCCGAGGTGCCTGGGATACAGAGAGTTATTTTCCATAATGCTTATGATTGCAACAGATGACTACAAAGTACTTAAGAAAAACATCCCTGGAATGTAAAGCTGGCTAGAGTCGCATTTAATTTTCAAAAAGATTTACACCTTCAAGAGACAGAGAAAGGATTAACAATTACATGTTTTTAAAGGAAGTTGTCTAAGAAAAGGGAGTGTCTGTGTGCCTGTGCCTGTGCCTGTGTGTGTGTGTGTGTGTGTGTGTGTGTGTGTGTGAGAGAGAGAGAGAGAGAGAGAGAGAGAGAGAGAAAGAAGAGTCCTTTTTCATTTTCATTTCTGGTACCAGAGAAAATTAATGTTTTATTTTATAGATTTGTGTTTACCCTTATAATAGATATAGAAAAGACAGGTTTGTTGACTACTTTATATGAAGGTTACTGAAATTGTTAATGACTAGACAACTGAAATTATAGTGGCAACACATTTACAAGAAGCAGATTTGTACAGGAGTTGGGAGATAATAAGTTTGGTTGAAGATATGTTGAATTTCAGGCATTTGTGGACTATCAGGTATTCAACAGGTTGTTGGAAATAAAAGTCTGGATCCCTAGAATTTGAACTGAATACATAACTTTGCAAATGATATCATACTATACGTAGAATACTACTTAGCCTTCCAGCCCGGTCAGACAACTCCAACGCCTCCCCGCCCCAGTCCCCCCCC